AGCTGGCACAGGCACTGTGGCCAGAGTCTACCTCTTTAAGGGCTCCAGGGAGCGGGGGGGAGGGAGAGAAGTGTTCTTGGTTGAGGTTGGAGTGGCCATGAGGGCACCCTGGGAAGGCTGGAGGCCCCCTATTGCGAAATAAGTGCTCCTCTATTTCGATTTTATTTCAAAATAATGGCTTGGCTGTGTAGACGCTAGGACGCCGGTGGGTTTGAGGCGCCGCGTCATTTGAGGCTGTGCGGTGCCGACCGAGCTCAGGGCCAGTCTCTCGGAGTATCGCAGGACGAGCTGGTGAGCCCATGGGGACCCTCTGCACCGAAGATGCAGGGATGTTGGCCCTGCAGGAGCAGGGTGACTGCTTGGCTAGGACACTGCTGGCAGCTAATTGCTTCTGCTCTGTGTTTCTCCCTAGGCCCCGGACCCCACGTGCCCCCAGTGTATGGCTTGGAGGTGACTGATCTCTCCCAGTGGGATGAGAACGTGCTGAAACCTGCCCTTCAGATTGTGGAGAGCTTCATCCAGGTGAACGTCATCCGTGGCGGGGTCTGTGGGAGGAAGCTTCTTTTGGGGGGCGTCTGATCTCTCTGGCCAGCGGGGTGGGGGCTGTTGCCAGACCTACTGCCTGTCCCTTCCATACGCTGCCGCTGTCACTAGAGATCTTACCCCCACAGCTCCCCAAGGGAGCCTCTGACCCAGAGCTCCCTCTGTCCCAACCCGGGCAGCTTCCGCTCTGCTCCGATAGCCTCTAAGCTTGCCCCTCTCAGGCTGATTTCTGGCTGTGTCCCACCGTGATGAGGTGCCCCCGAATGCCCAGCACACCCCTGGAAGGAGACTCGTGTCCTAGTTTCCCCCCAGGCTCCATGGGGAAGCCGCCTCTCTCCCAATCCCACGGCAGCAGGAGCAAGGAGGGGAACCTCGCTGAATAGCAACTGACCTGACACACTTGTCGCTTCAGGGGCAGCAGCCGTTGGCCGAGCCTGTAAAGATGGAGAGCAAGATGCTTGAGGACAAATGGAGTCATCACATGTGTGAGCTTTGTGACAAAATCATCATTGGGGACCGCGAATGGGCAGGTAGGATCCGGAGGGGGGAGATACGTGGGGAGGGCAGGAAGTGAGTCCATAGATACCTGCGCTTGGCCATGTGACCTTCATCACATGATCTCCGGTTTGTTTACAGCCCCTTATAAAAGCAGCCACTTGCAAGCCTGGAGGGGGTTCGCAAGCCTTGCCAGAGCAGCCATCTGTCAGCTCTTACCATCGCGGGTGGGGGAGGACACAGTAAAGCTCACGCTCTCCTCTGGCATGGGGTCGGAGGAGTCCTCGTAGTCAGAACCCTGCTTAGCGCGTGGCTTCCGATGGGCCTTGTTACCAAGTCAGGAGGGTTAGTGAACAAAGCAGCTTGTTTCTTTTGCAGTTATTGTTTGTGTGAAATAAAAAACAGTCTGTTCTGGAGAGCTTTTTGAAGTCAGCCTTGCCCCACCCTTAAGGTTTTGTAAAACTAAAGCGTTTCCAGATCTAATGCCTACAGGAGCATTTTCGTGATTTTTTTTTTTAAACTGAATTTTAATTCCATTGAAATAAAAATCTTTTAAACCAATTAACATTCCTCGGAAGCGCAGAACCTTGAAGTGAAATTGGCTAGAAACTGGCTCGCAGCAGCTGTGAAACGGACACCTCTGTCTTCATTGTGCAAACTGAGTGAAATGCTGCAGTGTCAATAGCAAGGACTAGATTTTAAAGATTCGTTTACTTGTATTGATTTAAAGAGAGGTTTCTAGCATAGGGAAGCTGGTGCTTTTGATGCAGCAGTTCTCTGTAACAGGCTTAAATCGTAAAGGTAACGATCTGGTTTTCAGTAGATCTGTGTATTGGGCTAGTCTGAAGACATTTTAAAAGCCATCCAGACACACCCAGAAGAGAGGCTCTGTGGGGGCATGTCTACATTACAGTGTTATTTTGAAATAGCTTATTTCGAAATAACGCGTCTACACACAAAATGCATTTCGAAATAGCGCGTCCACACTGAGCGGACTCTGAATCGCATTTAAGGCTGGCTAGAACCAGTTCTGGCAGGGCACCAGGTCAGGACTTGCTGCAAAGGGCTGCTGCCTGACTCTCTTAGGTCTGTGCTTAAAGGGACTG